ATAAAAAATAAAAAAATAAAAAGATGAGACGGTTCTCTGAAACCCAATAGCTATAAATCAAAGCACTTGTTCATTTTCTTCTATTAACAGAGCAATTCATTTACCGAAGTTTTATGTAATAAGATTGAAAGGGAAGATAAATGAATTTTGTTTGAAATTCTAAAACCAGCACCACAAAAAAATAAATAAAAATAAATAAAACCAGCACCACAGAATCAAGAGGAAGAGGGGGAATCCAAGCTGCAGGAGAGTCCCTTTTTGTTTTTCAGAGGTCATATTCATGGGTTGTGATCAGACATCGAAAGCAAACCTGTGCTGCATGCCTGTGCTGTTCACTGCATTTACCTTTGGCACCCTTCACTCCTTGGTCTCCCAGGGAGCCAGGCCAGCCCTTCTCTCCGACTTCTCCCTTTCTGCCAGGGTGTCCCTCAGGGCCAGGCTTCCCTCTCTCTCCCGGAAAACCTGGCATGCCAGGCATCCCCCGAGGTCCTGATGAAATAAAAGCATGAATGTTTAAGAAAACGTTGCAAAGGCTAGTGTGGTTCCTAGATCGGCATTCCCAATGTCCACCCGATGCACACTCCCACCTGACTCTGAGTTTGCACTGAAGGTGAGCAGCCATGATCAGCCTCACGCTGTGTAATAACTGGGCTCTCCCACACCACAGATCTCAAGTCTAGGCCTTCCTACAGGTCTTACTGGGCGGGTATGCCAAGGACACAAGGTCCTGACTGCTCTTTACCTGGCCTACTTCTCAAGGTTATGTTTGCAGTGAACAACCTTGACGCATGATCCCAGAATGGTTTCAGAGAACTGTGTGAGGGACGGGGCTGGAGAGAGGAGGATCCATCCAACATAGAAGCACATTAGCCCTGACCCTATAATTTACCAGTTCTACCCCGTTCATTGAGCAGAACTGGGTTTATGGATTCTGTGGCCCTCACACCCCATCTACCCAAACATCCTGCTACTGGAAATATCAATACAGAGGACAAGAAGAAGGGAGATGTCCCCAAGGGCAGGACAAAATCGGGCTCATATATCGGAACATTCTATAGCGTGGTCACACCTAACAGGCTTTACTTAGCAGTGGGTTTCACGTTTATAAAATGAGGAAAATAATTAAGAAGTGCTACCCACCATTGGGGCCTGGAAGACCAGGTAGCCCATCATCCCCAAAGGGGCCTGGGATTCCTGGCGGTCCTCGGGGTCCATCTGTCCCTGGCCTTCCCGGGTCTCCTGGGAGGCCCTTCATCCCAGCTGGTCCAGGAGGCCCCATATCTCCTCGCTGTCCTTTCCAACCGAGGGCACCTGAGACAAAGGACAGAGACCACAGTGTAGGACAGCTGGAAAGTGGCTTCACACACAGTCAGAAAAAAATAGTCATGTTGGCTTAAATTGCGTTTCTATGGCCAAGGAAACTAAAGTGAAACAATATTTAACATCTAAAATAAAACTAGCAACTCTCCATCATTCTACAATTATGTTTTTTTCTGGCTGTTATAAAAAGAAGGGCAGAAATATTTCAAATATTTATTACTTGAAGGAAGAGTCCCCAGTAAAGAGCATGAGTGAATATTATAAAAAGTTTTGTATGGGAAATGGTGAGGGGTTAAAAACCAAAATGTAATCTGTATTTAGTCTTGGGGGTAGATAACTTTCCAGGTTCTTCCGGAAGCTATGACCCAGTGAGTTTTGATCAGGATGTTAACTGTGATGAGAGAATTGTAGAAATCAGAGCAACATCATCTGATATTACTGATGCTAGAAATAAAGCTATAGCAGCAGGTTTTGCCTCAATCTCGTGTTGATCCTATGAGAGGGCACATTCCTGCATTTGGATAAACACAATAGGATTTACATAACAGGTGGCAATCTGAATGGTGAAATGAAGATCATATTGGAGATAGCCCCTAGAACCTTGTGTTGAGAATCACTCTTTCTCCAGTCTCTTCCAGTTCCTACAGGTCTTGCTGGGCGGGTATGCCACGGACACAAGGTCCTGACTGCTCTTTACCTGGGTTACTTCTCAAGGTTATGTTTGCAGCGAGCAACCTTGATGCTGATATAGCACCTCCCCTAGTACAGAAAGCAGGTTGCTTTACAGGCATGTCAACCAGTGGTTCCGCAGGCCCAGAGCTCCTCTCAGGTACTGCAACCAGCTGTGTGCATGGCACCTATCTAGCACCTCTTATGTCTATGTCGTTACAGAGAGACTTGGGTGAAGTGGGGAAATGGCACAAACCAACAGGAAGCTCATGCTACTTTTTGTGCCGTGAATAAGGAAGCTCTTCCTCTCTTATCCAGGAATCTTGCTTCTTCCAGTGGTGAAAGAGCAACAGCAAGCATAGTCCTTTGTAAGCCTGCTAAAGCCCCAGGCCCTTCACAGTCCTTGACACTTACCTGGACTGCCTGGAGCCCCGGGGAGTCCTGGTTGCCCTGGTGATCCGGGAGCGCCTCTTTCACAGGAATGGCCAGGTGTACCGGGGACACCTGGAAACCCAGCACTTCCCTCTCTGCCTTTCGGGCCTTTGAGACCCGGCATTCCGGGCATGCCAGCTGGCCCTGGAATGGTACAATCCATCTGTGACACTCATGGCATAAAACGACATAGATGGCCTACCAGAGTTCGGGCGCATCAGTACCGGAAGCCAGCGTTTTGATCCTGGCTCTGTGCTCAAATGAGTTAAGTCTCTGAATGGATTTTCTTTTCATAGAACATGAGCTCCAAAGGAATAGAAAACTGTGCATGGTTAAAAGAGTTACTTGATAAAGTTATATAGATGACAAAGAAGTTGTTTATGCAAATTGAAAAACTATGGGATTCTTCCTGATTTTAATTAACCTCTAACATTGCAGCAGGCTTCACACCAAAACTCCACAATACTTACAAACCCAATTTGCACTGTAACAATTTGCATTTCGTAACATATTTCATCACTTGAACTCTCAAATTTCTATTTATTGAAAAGGCAGTGCCATAATCTTCAGAGAGAAAAACAAACCCCCTATAATTCCACAGCCCAACCAAAAAATCCTAATTTATTTTTCCATGTTTTCTTTACATTTTCTGTTCAGATGTTTACATTCTTAAAATAGTAGTCACAGTGCACAGTCAATTGTTAGATTATTTCACATTGCATATTAATCTGCAAATGTTTTCCATTTTGTTGTAATCTTTACAAATATAATTTTAATTGCTAATGCTAATAGGTAATAATATTTCTTCTTTTGAGTGTGTGTGTGTGTGTGTGTGTGTGTGTCTATGCTACTTAACTCTCTATTGTGAATACTACTACAGATGACCCTTGAACAACTCAGGTTTGAATTATCCAGGTCAATTTACAAACATATTTTATTTCAATAAGTACTATAAGTGTATTTTCTCTTCCTTATTATTTTCTTAGTAGCATCTTTTCTCCAGCTTACTTTATTGTAAGAATATAGTATATAATACATAAATATATGCAAGATATAAAATCTGTGTTAACTGATTATGTTATCAATAAGACTTCCAGTCAAGAGTAGGTTATTAGTAGTTAAGTTTGGGAGAGTCAAAGGTTACATGTGGATTTTTGACTGCACAAGTGTGTGTGTGTGTGTGTGTGTATGTGTGTGGCCAGGGGGCGGGGGGTCAGTGTCCCTAACCCCAGCATTGTTCAAGAATCAACCATACAAGAGTATTTTCATATTAACCTTCATATTCTGCTGAACACTGCCTGAGATACATTTTTGCAAGTGAGATAGTGGGATTATCAATCAAAATTATTTTCATTGACTCATATAATATGTTGTTACTTTCCAATTGATTGGATTTTTGTATATGAGTATTTTGACTTACAAACTACCAAGTGAGCTCCCTGAGGACACAGAATGTGGCTTACTCCCCTGCCCTCCCACCTAACAAATGCTGGCTCGACCAGAGCAGTGTTTGTTAGTCTGGTCTGCCAGGGCTCGGCTGGGCCCCAGCTCTCCCAGGAGCCTTCCCAGACTCCCACTCACACTGCTCCTCCCCTGAGCTGCTCTCCCTCCTCCCTCATCCAGTCTGTCCTGTTCTCCTTCAACCCGGCACTGGCAGCAGGCAGGCCACACAGCCCCTATTCCTTGGCGCTGCCCGGAGTCCAGAGTAGGCAGTCAGAGTCCAGTAGCTGCTGAATCTAACTGGGTTGACTGAGCCACAGTGAGCTGCTCTGGATTTGAAAACAACCAATAAAATGCAAAAGCAACAAATTAAATGTAACCGATGCCCACATAGGAGGGAAGATGCTTGGGTGACATTTTTATATTCCCGATTTCTAAGGCAAGATCGTCTAACTGCTCTTCCGTGACTGGTTCCAGAACTGAGCTGGAGGTATAGACACAGGGACGGAGCAGCCTCGTACCTGCAGGCCCCGGATGTCCTGGGTGGCCTCTGAGGCCTTTCAACCCTGGCATTCCTGAGGGACCCCTCTTTCCCGGGGGCCCTGGGTGACCATACGCAGGGTCTCCGGGGATTCCTTTCTGACCACTGGCTCCAGGTGAACCAGGAGAGCCTGGGGGCCCGATGGGAGAGGAGCCCTTTTCACCTTCAAAACCTGGATCGCCTGTGTCACCACGGAGACCTATTGAACAAAAAATGGTTTCAACTGTTAAATGTAAAAACGTAGAACCTATGCACATATCATCTACTGCTTTGATGAAAACATATTTCTAAAACATACAAAGGTATTTATTTAATAGGTATTGTTTTTACCACCTTTGGCAGGGAAATTTATTGTGATTTTGTAATTCCTAAAAGCCCACGATGTCTCCCCAATTGCTTGCATTCTCTGGCAAATAGTCTTTCTGGACTGAGCAGTTTTCACAATATAATAGACCAGTAATGGCCTATCACTCCTGCTTCAAGTGAAAGAAGCCCTGAGAACTCACAAAACTATCATAACCTAAAAGTTAACAAAACACAGCTAAGGGCTCAATGTATCAATAAAAACCATGTCCCCCTCATCTAGGGATCTCAGGGCCATTTCCTTACTAAGATCGTCTAGTTTTAGAAGTATATGACATTCCTCAGGAAAAGCACTCCCCTTACCAGGTGGACCAGGTATTTTCGATATTCCTGGTTTGCCAGGCCGACCTTTTTGCCCATCAAAACACCTCAGCCCAGGAGCACCTGGAGGACCTGGAAATCCTTTTGGACCTAAATGATAATAAAGAAACATGGACTTCATAAGATGCACATCAAGTGAGAACAAAATAAGGAGATTTCTACTTGATGGCAGTGAAGATGTGGAGTAGGCTGGGTTACATAACTGTTTTACAAGTCACCTGCTCTGAACAAGTATTTCGCAGGCAGTGATTGTGCTAAGGCTCGTTCTCAGAGGCCGAACTGTGAAGGATTCTTCTGAAAGCCTTTGGGATGAGCACCACCCTACAGATGAACCTTTTGGTAGCTTCCCCTGCTGGGTCCCAAATACAAATATGCAAGCACATCTGTCCTTGTGGGAAGACAGGTGGTGGCCCGTGTGTGGCCTGATGAGAAGACAACCAGAGTAAAGGCCAAATCTATTCCCTGCATCTTACTGCATTTGCCCTGGAATGAAGTATAAGCCAAAAGCACTGCAAAAGGAATTGAGGGGTTTTTTTTTTTAAACTCTTGTGATTTCCTACTAGGAGATACCTCAGCTAAAATAACCTTCAAATCATGAACAAGTTTGAGTGTTCACTTCCCTTGAGATGAAAGCTGCTGAAAGTAATCATTAACTTTTTAAATCCATCTATGACAAGGCATCAGTAAATGTGGAAATGAATATTCAATCAGTCAACCGGCAATGCTTCTCTCCACTGATGTAGTTATACTTCCCCACCCTGGCCCTTGCCTTGTGCAGGGTGGAGTGTCATTTCCTTGCTTTGATCTGGGCCATGGTCCTGTGACTTGCTTTGGCCAATAGGATATTAACAACCATGGAGCAATGAGAGGAGTGAACTCTGCCTGTAAAGCTGGGCTGCCCTCTTGCATTTCTGCAATCACACAAGACGAGCACATGCTGGCCCCACAGTGACCTGATGTCACAGACCTGAAACTGGACTAGAGCCAGGGACCAAGCCAATAGACAGCATCTCAGATCAGCTGAGCCCCACCCACCTGCACACCCATACCAGAGAAAATAAATATTGTTGTTGTAGCCCACTAGATTTTGAGGTTGTTACACAACACTATTCTGACAAAAGCTATTGGCTATAGAGAGCAATAGAGAGTCATTCATCATTCAACCTTTAAATACCTTTTGTTATGTAGGACAAGAAAGGTTACCTTTAGCTATGCTAGTGCTCAATGGATCAATTTAAGTGAATTTGGAATAAATAAAAGAGAATTAGGCATTTATATAGATTTAGGGTCTGATTTAGCTATAAAGAAGCTATTGATTCAAATGAAGCGTTTCATGAAAGTGCAATCACGGGTGTAGGTATTGCATTATTCACACTGCTTCTGGTCAAACTGGGGTTTCTTATAAAGCAGAATAGAATAACACTTATAATCAGTAAGTGAATGATCATTTTTGACTCTTGGGACACAGGATAAGAAAGAAGACAACATTTTAATACTCTCAAAGGGCAAACATTTTAACTGGTATGTGATCAAATCAAGGTAAATTTTGTTGCACAGAGATATGAAAAACCCACCTGCCATGTGCCCAGACCAGCAGACTAGAGACCCAATGTGAATGACTACAAATGCCGTTTTCCCATAGACACTCAAATCCTTATAATAATTTTAGAAATACCTTATTTGCCTGTGGGTTTGCTTTTGGTTTATCTACCTTGCCAGGTCTTTTATTCTGGAGAATGTGTAAGACAGTAACATCTCATTGATCATACCTGGAGGTCCATCCAAACCTGGAGGGCCTGGCCTCCCAGGGTAGCTGACATTACAAGAAATTGTATCACCTAGGGGGGAAAAAGGTAGTATTCACATAATTGATAGGCCAAGAAACGGTAAATCTCAATGACAATTTGATCAATATATTTTTCATAGAGTATATGTAGAATTCAAAGGAAAAGCCACAAAAATATCATAGTTCACTTGAACTACTTTTATTTCAAATTCTAGCAAACCTGTCCTCAAATCTAAACAGTTATAAAAATAGGGGTCAAAGAAAATATTGATTCCAAGAAGGATCCGTTTTAATAACACAGAATAAATATTGGATTTATAGGCCCATAGATGTCGAATACCATGAAATCAGAGGCTTTGTGAATCATGAAATCGCAGCCAGTACCCATGCTAAGTTCAGAAGATTCGGCTCCTAGTTTGGATGTGGGGGGATTGTGCAAATAAAGCTACTGGGCAGGATATTAATAACAGCTACCATGTCCTGAGGGCCGCTGTGGGTCAGGTGCTATAAATAGGTGGTCTCTTGTTTTCCTAATGTCCTTGCAATGTGGTTATTGTCATCCCCCATTTTAATCAGTGAGGAAAATAAGACTCCAAGCTTGTGCCTCTGAGTTATCTTGTCCTTTAAAATGGGATGCTCCTCTTTTATCATAGAAATAATATCTCATAATGTATTAGTTCACATGCTCTCAACTCAAAAACACATGAGATGAATACAAATAATGTTCTATTCTGATGGGCCCCAGACCATGATTTTAAACCTTATTGAATTCCAAGGTATTTGCCTTTCTATGTTGTCAAATCAAGAACCAAAGATATTAGTTTCTTCTGAAATTTCACACTTAACAGTGTAGCCCAATGTATATGTACATATTACAAAGGAAAAAAAAATCTTAAATATTTTCCAACCTTTTAAAAAGTTTCCAGCTATCATACTGTAGATCATTTTATTGTTTGAAATGTACAAAACAGTCAGATATATTTAAAATCCTTTCTTTTTTCTTCCTGGAATGCTTACAAATGGGTTTCCAGGGACAATATGATGTGTTTTTTTAATGAAACACTAGTGGTTTTTTTTATTAAAATATACTGCCTTATCTAAAAATATTATAAAAATAGATATTTTTGAATACATGTCATTGAATATGGTCAGAATGTATAAGCTGATACTGAGAAATGCATGAAAGGCAACTTTCATATGCCAAACAAAGCAACAAAGGCATTTTAAGAATTTGTTTTAAATATTGATTGTGCTGTAATGCTTTTATTTGTTTGACACTATTCCAGATCTGAACAGTGGCTTGATGGAATTTTATTCAGCGGTTCTGCCATAGCTATAACTTTACCCAGAAGAGAGGCCCACTTTCCCTTCTGTGATTTCACTTGACACTGTCACACAAAGTGTTCAAAATTACCTTTTCGACCTTTCACACCAACAGGGCCCCTCTCGCCTGGGTGGCCTGGGGCTCCCGGTTGCCCCCTTTGTCCTGGTGGACCAGGAAATCCCAGTCCTGGAGGTCCCCTTGGTCCTTCTCTGCCAGGGGGGCCTGGCAGTCCAGGAACTCCTTGATCACCTGGGCCTGCATCTTCATGATCCCCCTGGGAATATTCGTATCATGAATCAATTACCAAACCATGAACTCAAAGTAGTCATTGTCATAGGCTAATGAAACACATGCAGAAAGCTCATAATTCCAGGAGAAAGGGACTCAATAGCAAATAGAATTTAAATTGATTAACTTAGATTCCTTTTAATAGTTTATATACATATTTACATATACATGTGATTGGGGGGTGTCTTATGCCTCAAACACAAAGAGTTATATGATTGTGACATTTAAAAACAGAATAAGAAATTTTATATGGAACCATTCTTTATTTTAAGTATAATAAAATACAGAAATAAGTAAGTTAATGGAGATAGTAGGCTTGCGAATTGGGTAAGTTCTTATACATTTGAAATAGTTCTCCTGCACTCTTATGAGAAGACACAGGGATAGTCTCCATCACCCTCCATGTCTGTGGACAAAGGCTGACCAATCCTTTCCCCTCCTGCATAAGAATTTGACCTTTGGGTCCAAGAAGCGCAGAGAACCCCAAACAAAAGGAATTCCCTCCTGCATAAGAATTTGACCTTTGGTAACCGTCTAGTTCTGTTTCTCTGGAAACTCCATAAAAATTGCATGTCAGCCACATTACTAGGCAACCTTACTTATGGTAACATCAAACCCAAGTTGCAACATTTGCATCTGGTCTGGAAGAACTGGAAAGACCTTGAGTGGTGGCTCCTGTAACTGCCACGTTCCTTGTGGGGTCCCCACAAGCTGTACTTTGGAGATAACAGCTCTCATGGGGAATGAAGCCTTCAAGTCAGGGCTGCTCACACATCTGCCACATGTGGCTCTCATCTCCTTCACCCCAACCGAATGCCCAGCTGCAAGGATACTCACTCACAAGGAATGCCTGACCCTGTCCTACTGGCAAGTTGATGGCCCTGTCTTCTATCCTTCTGAATAGTCTGGTCTCAAATATGATATATAATAGTGCTGTGAGTCTAAATTGTTTTAATTAAGCTAGGAAGACCACCACACCCACTCCCCATGCCCCCCTCCCTGCCCCAGTGGCTGTTATAGAAATTCCTTTCCCATTTGATCTGTAAATATACTTTGATTTTACACAAGTAGGTTAGTGTACATGATGAAAATTGCCACTCAGTGACACAGATTCTAAACAGTTTCTCAAGTGGAAGAATGAATTAAATAGGGACTATCAAATCTAGAGTAGAGTTTATTCACATACTTGAAAGCAGCTGAAAGACCAGAAAGCTAGAAATATTATCTAACCTGATTTCTAAGCTTCTGTCTCTTATTCACATGTGTTCTTTCTGAATGAGCTCCTATAAAATCAGAACATGGTTCTTCTCTATTACAACACAGACTGGTGGAAGTATCCCAATTGACTAAGTCACACATGCTTTGGAATAAGGCAGACTGGACTTTTCATTCCTATTTAGCCTATTTGATAGATAGATGTCCTTAGTAACATACCCTAAACCTCCATTTCCTTACTGTAAAACTGGAGAGATAATTGCTCTTCAGAAGACTACTGTTATGCGTAAACATCTAGCGCACTTTCTGTGACACTGTAAGCATTAAAAATACCTCATATACCCAATATATTTTAAATTCCAAAGCATTGAAACATGTCTTACAGTTTTTTCTTATGAACTTCATTACCTACACATGGCCTCCATCTAAAACATGATTGAAAAATGCAGAAATATCATTTATCAATGGATTTTCCATCAGCCAATGCATCAGTTCAGTAGATTTGCACTAGTTTATCCTTCTTTGCTTGCTCCTTCACGAGAGGACAGAACTCAAGATAATTTTCAAGGCCTGTGCTTTATCCTTCACCTGACAGTCATCTGAACTGGTCTCAAATCAGTAGGGGCTTTGACGATACAAAGGGGAAAACCACCATAATAACAACACATAGAGACAGAAAGTCTTGTTATGACTGAAATGTCACTCAAGATGTTAGACCATCTGTAATGATGCCATCCATACCTTTTAGAACAATCATCTTTTTGTGGGAATCAATCAAAGGTGTCTCTGATTTCCAGCATATTAATATTTTACTGAGTTATAGCTTTCTAAGTTGAGAAGAGGAAAACAGATGTATTGTGCCCATGTAAGAAAGTGAAATTCTATAGCAGAATAATTATACATACTGGGGGTCCTGGATCCCCGATTGCTCCAGCATGTCCATCCCAACCATCTTGTCCCCGCTGCCCTGGAAATCCTGGGGGCCCATCAGGACCTCTTTCTCCTTTGCGCCCTGGGAACAAAAGCCACAAAGATATTCAAGCTCTTATCAGAAGTGGGTGAAGTAGAGGAAGACTTGGCACTAAAGACAAAGGCTTGACCTTGGCTCTCTGTGAGCTAGTAGAGATCCCTCAGAGTGTCCCAGTTGACTAAGTCACACAAAATCAACTGTGCAAAAGTCAGAGGGGAGAATGACAATTGCCAACCCCTTGAATGTTCTATTTGGGAAACATCCCTCTTCTCATTCTGACAAGGAGGTACTGAATGGAGATGCCAATCACAACAGCATCTTCCCCTGCTTGTGTGATGTCAAACATGGTCCTCTTTCTCCTGGCCATCATGAACGGGGAGATGATCCATGAACACTTGCTCCAGGCCAGTCCAATCCTTCCTGAATTTTTTTTTTCTAACTAGAGTGGAGAAGGTGGAGCTCGCTTTTATATCTAGTTGTAAGAACTTGGAGCTGCCTGGGACATGTACCTATAGCCTAGAGAAAGCTAATCTTGGGGGGAAAGTGCAAATAACATATTTCATTAAATATGCAAGATGCAGGAGGAAGAGTCTCCTATTCAGTTGTCTTATGCAAACCCTACATCTAACCTTCAAATTTTGTTTAATTAGCCAATAAATTACTTTTTTAAAAAATATATTTTTATTGATTGCAGAGAGGAAGGGAGAGGGAAGAGAGAGATAGAAACATCAATGATGTGAGAGAATCATTGATTGGTTGCCTCTTGCACGCCCCCTACTGGGAGTTGAGCCCACAACCTGGGCATATGCCCTTGACCAGAATCAAACATGGAACCCTTCAGTTCACAGGCCAACACTCTATCCACTGAGCCAAATGAGATAGGATACCAATAAATTACTTTTTCTTCTTAAAGTATTTCAAGCTGAATTTCTGTCACTTACAGCCAAAATACTCTTGATTAATACAGGATAATACAATGCAGTGAATAAACACTAAGCACATTAAAGGAGGGCTTGTTTCAAACCCAAGTTCACAACAATAAAGAGTTGAAAATGTGACTAAAGGAGCACTTACGTTGTCAAATAAGAGACAGAGGATTTGAAGTTCAACATTCACATGACTTAGTAAAGGACAGAGAGTATTTTTTAAGAAATCTCAACAATCCTAAGTCTGGTTATAGAATCAATCTGTGGTCACAGGGGGAATTACTGCAAGAGGATGGTTCATATTTAATTCAGAAGATGGTAGTTAAGTGATCAACTAGGCTCACCTTTAACTCTTGCTACAACCATGTCTCCCTTTTCTCCTCTGTTGCCAGGTGGTCCTGGGGCACCAGCTTTTCCCTTGGTGAAAAATAATAGCAACAGATCAGTTTAATTGTGAGGGGTCAAAGATCATTCTAATCTCTCTCTTCTTTCCCTCCAATCACCTGTTCTGGATTCTAGATTGGCACACTTAGTCTCATTCTCTTCCTTGCCTTATGAGGTGGGTCCCACCTTACAAAATTGAGGTTCTCAAACTGCATGTAAAAGCTGGTAGATCTGAACAAGGTCTGTACCTGAGTCAATAGAAATTTGTCACTGTTTCCTGGGTTTGACAATGCACTAGGGATATGTAAGATCTCATTGGGGGAAGCTCAGGGAAGGGTACACGGGAGTTCTCTGTATGATTGTGTAACTTCTTGTAAGTAAAACTTTATTTAAAAATAAAAATGTATAATTAAAAAAAAGTTTTTTAACTATCCTGGGCTTTGTAATGTAGAATTGAAAGGAGAGGGGTAGGTTAACCAGAGCAGCTGGCACTAGAGCTAAAGGCACAGGTTTAGAGGTGAGTTTGTGATTAAAGAGACTGATATTGAAGGAAGTTAATGAGCAAGAGAAGGAAAAATAAGAACCTTCGCTATCAATATATTTCCTCTGTATAGCAAGTAAAAAACTAATTCTGGCTGATGGGGTCATCATCTTTTGACATCAATTGCTCTGAGACTAGAGTATTTGGGTCATGTTTTTTAAGTATTACCTAGTATTAAATAGCAAGCCATGTCAAAAACCTAGAACCTACTGTTGGTATATTGGAGTGGCTAAGCATTCTAGTAAATACAGTTATAGAAACACTAAACATAGCTGAAGGTTACTTATCTGGTAATAATTTTTAAAAAAACATAGACAGGAATTTGAAAGGAGGCAAAATGGCTGATCAGACCAATCGCTTTGCTCTCACACAGGCTATGTTGTCTTATTTTCATACAATCTTGCAACATGTTGAAGCCTTTAATTGGCCCTTAGTACTTTATACACAGTGAAGTATAAAGGGGAGAAGACACCAGAGATATGAGCACAGTGGCAGCATCGAACTGTGAGAATATAAAGAAACCAAAAATGTACCCAACAGGCATAAAAACTGAAATGGACATCATGGTTGGGAGCCAGTTCATTAGAGAAAATATACCTACACACACATACCAGCCACTCAACACCCCCAAGAATATCACTCTAGATCAGGGGTCCTCAAACTTTTTAAACAGGGGGTCAGTTCACTGTCCCTCAGACCGTTGGAGGGCCGGACTGTAGTTTAAAAAAAAACAAATGAACAAATTGCTATGCACACTGCACATATCTTATTTTGAAGTAAGAAAACAAAACGGGAACAAATACAATATTTGTATTTGCATGTGGCCCGCGGGCCGTAGTTTGAGGACCCCTGCTCTAGATCCTGTGTGTAATGATGTCTATGAAGAATCAAAAAGGTGAGTGGAACACATTCCTTACTAGAAATAGCCAAATTGGACAGGGAAGTAACTTTAGAAATTATAAAGTGCTCACATGGGTTGAATGTTGCTTAAATTCTTATTTTTATTGTCTATGCTAAGTCATAAGTACCTCCCTGACAGAGAGGACATTTTTGTTGCTGCTGGGATTTTATGAAGGCCTGTGAAATCATTTAGTCTGGCCCTGCCAAGGCATTAGGGGTAAGTTAATGAAATGTTTGACAAAATATAGAAGGCTAATTTTTAAGTTGATAATTTTGTATGACCCTTGAATTATGTTATTAATATCCAAATGGCCCTTAGCAGAAAAAAAGGTTCCCCACCTTTTTGGATAGTATCCATCCAAGAGATGGATAATGAAAATGTCCTTTGATGGATAGGCTACCAACAGACAACTATTCACGTAGCATTTGAACCAGTTTCTCTCCAGAAGGAGAATACAGGCATGCTTAGTAAATGCCCTGGAGGAGTGGATATACCCTGGAAGTCTGGGCAGATTACCAGTGAGCACATTGGCAGCTCAGAATGTATTGTAAATTGCTCAAATGTTTTGCATTAGAGTTTTAATTACTAGAATCAGATCATAGTCTTAATTGAGCTAGTAAGAAAAAAATTACCAGCGCTGTCTTTAGATTTCACTAGAGACTTCATTTACTGGGAACCTACAATGAGCCAGGCATTATTCTGAGTCCTGAGGACACAGCAATTAAAGACCGTCCTGCCCTCATGGCACTGAGACTCTAGTGAAACAAATGTTGAATCTAAAAAATACCTGGGGCAGAGAGGTTCCCAGCCACTTGGGGATCAAGAGCTGCTTTTCACAATTCTAAGACCCGAGATCACTAAACACGTGTTAACACAACAACAAAATCCCAGCAGCAACAAAAATATCCTCTCTGCCAGGCATGTACTAGTTGTTTCATACATGGTCTGGATCAGAGACTTCAATTGCGGTGACTAGGGGGCCGTGTCCTTCTGAGGAAAGTAGATAGGTGGCCATGGTGAGGACCAGAGTACACAGACCTCCTCCCAGGGGCACAGCCACCTCTCAGCTTCCAGCAGCGGTGGGAATGCACTGACCCTGTGTTAATGAACTGCCAGTTTCTCAAGATGGCCATAAATCTCATATTATTAACACACACACACACACACACACACACACACACAACAACAACAACAACAACAACAACAACAGAGGAGATACACAGAAGAGTGAGAGCACCCACAGTGATTATCTGTTGTTCCTTCATGTTTCTTCCTTCTGTCCCTCTCTCCCTCTTTTCCTTTCATGGTGCCCCATAGTATGAACTTGGTCCCTAACTGTGGCCACAAAGTGATGAATTTAATACAGAGAAGTTATACGACAGAACCATACACAGAACAAAAACATCCAAAATTCAGCCAATTTAAAGACTTAAGTCCTTAGAGCAACTGAATTCTATATACCATAGCCAGGATAACCCTGAATGAACTAATAATCCACACTCCAAGATGTTAGCCCTGAGAAGCAACACAATGGAAAGCTGCAAAAATATTTTAGAACCATAAAGTCTTCATTAAGATTAAGTAGCAATGAAAACATGAGTATAATAAAATGCTGAATTAGAAAAGCAGACTATAAAATGCAAAGTACTTAATAATTGCCACCAAATCCATTCCACATACACGCGTGAAGGACCTAGCTTCCTGTTGAGTAGACTTTGCAAGTGCGCTTTACAGTGTAACGGGGTGGTGCAGGGACAGCTCAATCATCCCCCTCACTTCAGGGTCTTAGTCGAAACCTTATTTTCATGAGATTTCCTGGGGAAAATGGAAAGGGTACAGGTGCTGATGGTTAGGCTCCAGGTCACCCAAGGATTAAGCCTCTTTAGTAAGGAGGGAAAGGAGGCTGTCTCCAGCCTCCAGGGGAGAGTCCGGGGGCAGTGATTTTATTCTGAGGGACAGCTGGAAGGCTATGCCTCCACCCGAGTCATTGCAATGGTCAGCAAAAGACAGCCATTTTGAGATACACTTCATCCACTCTCTGGCACTAAATATCATATAAACTCTGACAATGCCAATATTTACATCTCCAGCCTCTACCTCTGATTTGAATCCTCAACTTTAATATCATCCCCCTTGCCTACTTGGCGTCTCCACTTGGTTGCCCACTAAGCATCTCAAAAGTAAAATGTCCCCAATGATACTGTTTCCTTTCTTGAACTCACGCCTGCTCCTCACATTGTCTTCACCATCTTGGCTTCATCCTTTATGTCTCTTTTTCTCATGTACCATGTCCAGTCTAACAGCCAACCTGTTAGCTCTACCTTCAAAATATATCCAGAACCTGGCCACTTCCCCCCATGTGCTGTACTACCATGTTAATCCCTGCTCTATTATATTTTACCAGGATTGTTGTCACAATCTACCTACTTCTCCCCTTGTCCCTCACGGTCTGTTTTTAACAGAGCCACAAGGATGATCCATTGGAAATGAATGTCACATTATGTCTTTCTTTTCTTAAAACTCAACACTGGCTGTTCTGTGTCATCCAGAGTAAAAACTCAAATCCAACCCACTCATAAAGCCCCATGCTCAGCAACCTTCCTATCCTCCAGCCACTTCTTTGACTTCCTCTCCTTCTGTTCTTCCCTTCATTCTGTCCACTCAAGCCACACCAGATGGTGTTGGCCTTTATTGCCACCTGCCATGCCGTATATTTATGCATCAGTCTGTTACTAGTATATAGTGTATGTCCTCCCAACAGAATAGAGGCCCCCAGGGGACAGAGACTGTGTTCTGGACTCTGCTGCATCCCCAGCACCTACAATAGCATCTAGAACATAGTAGGTGCTCAATAAATATGAATCAAATGGATGGATGAATGAATGAATGAACGAACGAATACAGATGATTTGGGGGGATTGATATATTTATAGGTTCAAAACAAAATATAACAGAAACAGGTACTATTGAATTCTATCTCTGTCTCTATTAACTAGAAAGGTTGTTACTCAAAAGAATTACTCACTGGTGGCCCTGGAGATCCTTCAGCACCAGGGAGGCCTGGGTGACCTCTTTCTCCAGGCCACCCAGGGAGCCCCAAGTCTCCCTTACTTCCCTGCCTCCCAGGAAGTCCTGGAGGGCCTGGCAAGCCTATGGGACCAGGCTTGCAGGCACAGAGCCCCGCATTTCCTAGACAGAGGATAAAAGACAGCTTTGTCATATTCCTGAGTAAAATCCCAATAAAGGCTTTACAATACAAAACAAATAGTGAAAATAAAGAGAGTCTAATATGCACAATTCTTTTAGCAGAACTGATAAGGTGTGCTGTGGGGCATGGGCAGGAGGGGGGCACGTAGACATGGGCTATATGGGGTGGATATATCATTTCTATACAAATGGGGTATTATCAATCTTAATAAATTCATCCTGACAAATTCTAGGGGGAAAGCTTATGCCCAATCCTAATTAAGAAGCTTTAATAATAAGAAAGCTTCTTTTTTAAAAAAGTTTGTCTCTTATTTGGTTCCTACGCAAAAAAGGTCTCTTGATTGATTCCCGCTATAGAATCAACAACAGAAATTTGGTTACAGCATAAACCCTGAACATTTAAAGAAACAAAAGAATATGTGAAGAGGGATCACTGACTGCATTGAACATTACAATTGATAACTCACTACAATGTAATTATCAGGACTTTCAATCTCAAAATAAGTGTCTTTGTGATAGTCAAACCCCTCAGCTCTCAGACCCACCTGACTCATATGGTCAAAAAGGCACCAAACAAGTTAGGGCAGAGAAACAGGGCCAGAAGCACTTGATGAGTCTGGGGAATAGGGGAGCCACAGAGGGAAACTAAAATAAAAGATCAATACTGTCCTTTCTCGGCTTCTTTTAAGGAATCAAGAAGATTTCGGGGAACAAATATTACTTTGAGGAAAATCATGGCAGGTAAGATTCTCCTTTATTCTCTAAAATATTAGAGCTGACTTTTTGGAAAGATCTAATCACATGATGAGCATATAATGAAGTGGCATATTTACCAGGGGTAACTAAAGGCAGTAACAAATCTAAATGAAATGCCACATTGTACGTGTTGTAAGTGCCTCCCTATCCTGCACATGCCGTTGTCTTCTGGGAATGCTACCTTTGCAGCATACTTGCCTTTTTCTCCTTTTGAGCCTCTTCTTCCTGGAGGACCCATTTTGCCTTTTGGTCCTTGTGGTCCAGGGTGTCCAACACTACAATATATAACTTTATAGTGGGAAAGGGGATGGGCAGAGAGAATCACACAGTTTTTGTGAATGTCTCCTACAGCACACGTTAGGAGTATCTCTTGCACTCACATCTTCCCCTCAGCCCATTCTTTCTTTCATTCCTCTTGATTCTTTCTCTCTGATATAAGAATAGACCATATAATTGTCACAGCATGCTTCTGCCACCATAACCTTTGGTAAAGCCATACTAACCTCAGCACTAATTAGTGGGTGCAAAGCAAGGCAATGGACAACAACAGAAACAGCCAAAACAAAACAAACAAAACACTGAAAGTAAGTGTATCACAAAGATCATTTTCTCTTCCAATTATCAATAATTACCTAATGAAGAAAGCATAAGCAGAGCTTGTGAAAGCAGAACTTAAGAGATACCTGATTAAGGATGACATGTAGAATGCAAACCCCATAAGTTCCTTGTTCTCTCCAAACTCCAATAAAATAGCATGCAGTAAAAGAATATTATAAAGAGGCATAAACCTCAAACTAAAGAAAAGAAAACAATGGCAAAAATGTAAAAAGACTTAGCAGATCCTTTAAAAAGCTGAATTCTAAGCAGACAGTAAGGAAAGCGGAGAAAGAACACAATTATATCAGAAATCCCTCCCAAAACTCAGGAATTGGAACCTCTGAAGAAGAATGACAATGAGGCCCCAAACAAGATCCCTTTCTCAAAAATTGCAGCAGGATAAAACAACCCTGCAAAGCTGCAGGAAACAGTGCAGCGGGAAGAAAACTTTAAAAGAAACCATATAATTTTAAAAGCAGGTGAAAGAAGAGATTTTATCCCTGAAACATGAACAGGCTGCTGTAGAAGGAACCATTAGAAGGGAACACTAGCAACAACAAAATCCTTGAAAATTAGAAAAAATATATGACAGCAGAAATTTAAAAATTCAGGAGCAGAGTTGGAAGACAGAGTTGAGAAGATCTCCTAGAAAGTGTTACAGAAAAATAAAAAGTAAAGAATAATAGAGCAAACATTTTACTGACAAATCTATAGAGTCCGGAAAGAGAAAACGGAGAGTGGGGAGAGGAGAGAATAGCTTCAAATAAGTAGTTTAATATTTTTTTTAAAATGAAGATTTGTGTTGGACCGAAAGTACCCACTCCATGTCTGCAAATAAATGCAAATGCACACACACAAAAAGGCAAATCACTGTGAAATTTAAGGACATGAAAAACTCATAAGTTTGTACAGAAAACAGATTTCAAACAAATGTCAAGTATCTAAGTATTATTGAATTTGTCAAAAACAACACCGGAAGCTAGAAGACAATGAAGAATGCTTTTAAAAACCTGAAGGAAAATATTTCCAACCTAGAATTTTATACTCAGCCAAAATATTGATCAAATTCTACAGTAGATTAATGCCATTTTCAGACATGTAAGATCCCCCAAATTTATGCTTTTTCTCAAGAAGTATAATGAGAGAGTAAATGAGTGAAAGAAATATATGTTGTAGGAAACAGAGAGAGAGAGAGAAAAAGAGAGAGTGCCCAGAATAATGGTGAAGGTAGATCTCAAGACAGTATCTCAGCAGTCGATTAAAAATGAAATCTGAAAAAAAAAATGAAATCTGACCTAATTTGAACAGCTCAAAAGCTCCAGGAGAGATTTATTTAAAGAGGTAACACTGATAGAATATTAATGAGTTATAATGTACTATTGGAATATTTCTATAATTTGAGGTGGGTTCAGGTTGAATTAGCAAACACACAAAGAAAACAAGACAATTGTTAGCAAAATATCATGCTAGAAAAGTAATGATAGATAGTATTATGTGGCAGAGTTGGTGAATAGTATTTTATAACTATTCATTGTAAACACTGAGTGTTTATTTATTTAACTGAAATTTGGATACTAACAATATTTTCCAGTGTGCACATGTGTGGTTGGGAGGGAGAGAAAGAGAGCTACATTTATCTTGTATAGAGGGAATACAAAAGATAATGCTCAAACCAAAAAATTAAGAAATAACAATACAAGCATGTTGAATGGCAACATAGAGACAAATAACAAAAGATCCAAGAAGAAACAGGAGAAGGGGTTGCGTAGGATGGCAGGTCGCTATAACTGGCTTTGTAGAATTGTTTGACTCCTAAGCCAGGTCCATTATAGCTCTGATAAAAAATTAAAACTACATTTATAAAACACAAATTGTATTAACTTACAAAATTCTATCATTACACTTAAATTCTCCACCAAATAGTTTCATATGCTTTCATTGATATGATAGTCCAATAATATCAGTTTATTTTTTGTGGTAATAATACTAACTTGGCTCAGGAAATATGAAAATTTTAAAAAAATATTTAGAAAGTCACATTTTCTGAATGACGCTACAAATATCAAATTCCACATAGACGCTAATGACTGTGAGTGAGGAGCACTTTACCATCTGATCCTGGAGGTCCCTGACATCCCGGCGCTCCGGGCAGGCCAGGTGGTCCCGGGTCCCCTGGTTTTCCTGGAGCGGAATCAGGTCTCGCAGGAAGGCCGGCTGCCCCTGGAACTCCCGGATGCCCGGGAAACCCTGGCGGTCCAGGGAGTCCCATCATGCCTCCAAGAGAAACCAAGAATGAAAACCACACAGACTCTCAGACTAAAGGTGTCTGTAGAAGAAATCAAACCAGTACATTCTGTCTTGGACTGAGGGAGTTTTTAAAGGAAAAAAAAATGTAATTAAAAAATAACTGAATATCCCCTTCATCAAAATGCCTCACCCCCTATGAAACCAGCACATAAGTAGAAACAAATTTGGGGAATCAGATTTTCTTTCCTTTTCCCCATTCTTTAGTATTATTGGGAAAGAAATATATACTATCTAATTAAAGTTATTTTTTTCAATCTTTCCACCTTGATAACTTGGTAAAAATAATATCAATAAGCACATTAGCACATTTAGTGAATAAAAGTATGAACTCACAAAACCATCTATATAGGACATGAAGCACCATGGCAACCTAGGTTGGTGGGGAAACATAGAGGTGCTGGATTTGAACCTGGCCTCTTCCCCTCTGGCCACAGGTACTTAACGTCTTTAATCCTATATGTCTGTCTCAGAGGCCTGTTATGAGGATTAAATAAAATAATCCACCTAAGAAGCTTAGTGCAATATCTGGCAATAGCATGTGCTCATCGAACAATTAGTTTTCAGTGTGTTCAGAGTGAGTAATGCAGCAGAAGCTAAAGCCTGCTTCCCCTTGACATTCTACTCCCTCTCTGGTGGCTTTGCCTTAAAGACAGCTGGAAGCCTTTGTGTGATGGTGACCACTTGTCCTAGCCACGTCTCCTAAGCACACCTGGCTCTAGAACAGGGGTGGGCAAACTTTTTGACTCGAGGGCCACAATGGGTTCTTAAACTGGACCGGAGGGCCGGAACAAAAGCATGGATGGAGGGTTTGTGTGAACTAATATAAATTCAAAGTAAACATCATTACATAAAAGGGTACGGTCTTTTTTTTTTTAGTTTTATTCATTTCAAACGGGCCGGATCCGGCCCGCGGGCCATAGTTTGCCCACGGCTGCTCTAGAATCTCTTTGTGGAAGACTGTAGTTTTCAAAGATGGTCACGTGGTGCTCTGCTCCTCATGTTCTTGTGGAACCTTGACTTTCCCCATCGCAAGGTTGGGGGTTTCCCTCCCTTTGAATGTGGCAGTCATTTGTAATTACTTGGGCTCATGGAGCACGGTGGGAGTGGCACAATGGTTTCCAAGGCTGGATTATTAAATGTGATTCCATTTCTGCCTTGTGAGCTGAAACACTTGGGCCTGGAAGAGTGGCCCACCATAGAAGCAATCCCACTGTTCCAAAGCCACCTGGTAAGGAAGTCTAAATGAAATCTAAATGCACACAGAGAGGCCTGAGGCTACACGAGGGATATAGGAGGGAGATGCCTGGCCAGTCTCACATTCCAGTTCCTTCCTGCAATCAATCCTTGATCTAGAATAGCTCAGCTTAGCCCTTCTATTTTGAACCACAGAAAGAGTGAAGGGTACTATAATGATTGTTGTTATGTTAAGCTACTAGGTTTGGATAACAAGTTCATTGATAGACCACTGAAACCTTGTCGGTAATCAGTAATATAGTATGCTAGTTAAATAATGGCTTTCATTATTGTGTGCACATGTGCTGGGGCTTTACATATATCCACATATTATCTTTACTCCTTAAACAATCCTGCAAAGTTTGTACCTTAGAGATAAGCCATAGAAAATGTAGGCCAAATATGAGTAAAATAATAGCTAACATCAGTGGGTCTTTACTATATGCCAAGCTGTAGTCTAAGAACTGTATATGTAGATATAGATAGATAGATATACCAGTAGATGATATAGATATAGATATAGATATAGATATAGATATAGATATAGATATAGATATAGATATAGATAGATTACTTCTTTCAACCTAAACAAGAACTCCATTTTGCAGAGGAGAAAACTGAGGCACAAAGAGGTTTACTAGATGCTCAAGATCACACAACTTGTAAGTAGAGGAGCCTGGAATGTTCTTAGTCCTTAGTGTGAATGCATAACTGTTTCACTATACTAAGTGGCAGGGCTGTGATTCAATGACAGGTGGCTGACCCAAAGCCCTGCTTACCTCATGCTAAATACTGTAGACCATTAAAAAAATAAAACATGTATAATAAAGGCTCTACACATTGGTGTACTTAAGGCAAAAAGAACATGTGTTCCTGTAGACTTGGACCCTTGGAGAGAGAAAGGTAGAGGTAACACGCTTGGGGGGAAGAGAGGAAGGAGAAAAGCACATATAGGGATTTGGGGGGGGGAGGGAAAGAGGAAGATTGTTGTTTTGTTGTGTGTGGTTTTAACTAAGACTGAATCAAAATTTTACTTTTTAATTCATAATTTGTATTTCCACATTTCATGTGGGAAATTTAAGTTGGGAGCAGGTGGAGGAAGTCAATTTTGACAATTAGGTATCAACAGGGAGAGCCATCCAAGAGGGTGGAGAAGACCCACAGAAACACTGGAACCCTGGCACGATTCCAGATCTCGTCTGCAAGTGATGCTGTCCCGGGAAGCCTGTTATGCAGACACATTCCTCACCACACCCCTGACACCTCGACTGAATATTTCTGAGGTGCGGCCCAGGAACCTGGGTTTCTTCCAAGCAAGTGATTAACTGGTTGGAGTGCATGGTTCTGAACCCCGGCTGTCCATTAGAAATACAAGGCACTTTTATAACAGCAGAGGCCTAGGTCCATGCCCCAGGGAGTCCAACATTCTTCGTCTGGGGTAGAGACAGCCCTCGGTGTTTTGAAACACTCCCAAGGTGATTCAGTGTCAGCTAGAGTTGAAAAACCTCTGATGTGGAGGAGGATGGAGCAGACCCGGTTTATAAAGCCAGTGGATTCATACCTGGACAGGTTTCCCCTGGTCGACCCGGAAGGCCGGGGGGACCGGGGAACCCAACAGCCCCCATTTCTCCATAGCGGCCAGGGAGTCCTGGATCCCCCGGAGGACCTGCCATAAAGAATGACACTTGTGAATATAATAAACATATACCTACATTTTAAAATCCCACACAAGTGCTTTCTGTGATGCTTGCTGAAATGCAACTAGGAGACTGCTTTATAGTTTCCCTCTGCATTTTACATGTTATATCTTAGATATGAGCCCTTCATCTGGTCTGCAGATGCATGACCTTGGAGTGGCGCTGTCTGTCATTGATTTAGGCTGCTCTGGTCTTGCAGGTGCCATCTTGTTAGGTCTTAATCAAATGGTTTTACATATATTTTAATAGCTAAAACACCCTACTTTCTAAAAGGTGACATAGTAAAAAAAAAAATCCCAGCATACAGTGTACATACTAAAATAAAATTTGATGTCTTATGCTGTTAGAGATGAATTAAGATGCACATCTCTACCTGCACTTGCATAATTATAGATTTGCGCTAAAATTCACCTATTTAACCTGCCTCGTGTGCAAACTATGGCAATACTGGGCCATATTCCTCTGTCAGGGACACTCAAACCCCATTTCCACATTATTAATGGAGGACCTGAATGAAACACAAACCTTTGAGTGGAGGAGGTGGAGTTGTCAACGCCCCTGGCGGTCCTGGGTACCCGCGGTCTCCGGGATCCCCCTGGAATCATTAATTCATTGACTTTCCTTAGAAATAGGAATATTTTCTCATGTTGCCTAGCACTGAATAAATACTATAAGGATCAAGAATCCATTCATATAAGAAATAAAGACTATAGGCAGACTAGAGAAACAGATAGTTCATGGACTTCTAGGAAAAACAGGCATTCGACCTCTTCCCTATGCGCAGAAATAAATAACCAACTAGCAAAGTTCTCTCAAAAGAAAAGAAAATGGCCCTCCCCAATTTTGCTCACTGGTTGAGCATCAGCCAATGGACTGAAGGGTCTTGTGTTAGAATCCAGTCAAGGGCACGTACCTAGGTTGCAGGCTCAATCCCCACATATGGGAGGCAACCAATCGATGTTTCTCACGTCGATGTTTCTCTCTGACCCTCCTTTCCACTCTCTCTAAAAATCAATGGAAAAAATATCCTCAGATGAGAATTAGCAAGAAAACAAAATGTTTTTAACTCCAATAAAGTTATTCCATTCTCATAAATTAGATACCTCTGAAGCCATAAAGTTTCTTAAATATACCATGAGCATTAATGTCTGATTTGACACTCTAGGACAAAAAGTTTATTCACCTACAAGAGCTGAATCCACATTTTATTTTAGCAGCAAATATGGTCCCCTTCATTGTGTCCCCTTAGTGCTACCATGGCTTGTCCTGGGCTAGAGCTGAATGTAAGGTCACAGAGGTTGCAACGAAACAATTCAGTGGTGGTAAAAGCAAAGAGCTCTCCACAGCTCCCTCTGGTTTTAATCGAGATGCTGTATGATCCCCATGGAATTTTTTAAACTTTCAAAAGGATCATTGTTCAAATGTAAAATGTAATCATTACAACATGCAATAAAATAATACATACAAAATTAACTCTGTCTGTTTCAAAAGTTATATTTTTGAATCATTCTTTGGAATATTTTTTAAAACTATATTGGACAACATAAAGGAGGTGGAATTTTGTCAGGTGGGTACTCTGACAGGTTCACTTTTTTTACCTTTGGACCAGGAAATCCAAATGACCCAGGAGCTCCAAACAGTCCTTGTTCACCCTATAAATAACCAGAAACATGCCTTTTTTAAAAAAATGTAACTAGGTGACAAATTATCTCATTGTCATTTAATTTGAGCAACACATGCTCACAGAGATTCTGTGCAAAATCTCAACATCTTAACACTACTTTGGGGTTGCAGCAGTTTTGTGCTTTAGACTTTGCACCCACAGCTAAAACATGTAATTCGTAAAGTGAATATGTCTCCCTTTCCAATTCTGCATGTGTGTTTGCATGCACTGGTCCAACTTTTGAATGACACTCAATTGCATTTACTAATTAAAGTGTATTTATCATATCCATACTGTACACTTACCTTTAATCCTGGAAAACCTGGAGATCCATAGGAGCCAGGAAAACCCTAATAAATTCACACACAAAATGACACAAACTGAATTAAATTAAAATGCATGCAGCAGCTCAAGGAATCCTATTTCATGTGAAGAGATTGCACCATGCATATTTCATCTTATCCGCTAAGGTCACTGAATAAAAGAAAATAAATATAAAGTAGATTTCATTTCTTTATCACATTTACTATTTTAATTGGTAAAGACCAATTTTAAAAAATGTATGTCCTCACCAGTGCTTCAAATTAAAAACATATTTTGTTGTTGTTACTATCCCATTTTAGTTTATTTAACTTAATGCTTGCATTGGTCTAAACATCTTTGAAATCATTGCAATATAATTTGCCTACAGATTAATAGTTGCTCTAAGCATTATCAGCAATAAAAATTACCATGGAAGCCAATTTTGTCCCACTCAACACTAAATCTAGAGCCAAATAAACCCAATACCTATGTCCACTGGGTCTGGCCTCGATAGTCACTCTATGTATGAATGGGGACCACACTAGTGACATGCATGGTGATGTTTGAGGCCTGATTCTGTGCTTCTTTTTTAGCTCCTGCCCCTACATCAGTACTTTCTTTTATCAAATACGCTTAAATGAACAATTCCAAGCTGCTATCACACTGACACTGAGCCAGACAGGAAATGCCACAATCCTGTTATTTCCCTCCAGTTCTTCTATCACCTGCTTGCCTGTTTTATCTAAATGATGTCAATAGAAGGGGTGTTCTGGGACTTTGAGCTATTACACAATTCTTGTTGTCAAAATTCTATTCCTATTTGAAATAATCCCATTTTTGAGCTCTCAGAAGTAGTGACCTAGTTTTATAAAAATGTAACAAAGAAATGCCTCCATACTCACTGAAGTTAAGGGTGGCATGAACGATCCTTACCCGAGGGCCTGGGAAGCCAGGGATGCCCTTTTCTCCTTTTTCCCCAATACCAGGTTCTCCCTTAGAAAGATGGCATTTACAGGGGTTTAAACAACAATATTCCAGCAATAGAGAATGAAAACACAAAATAATAAATAAAAATTGTTGCCAGCAAGTTAAAGAAATCAACACTTTACAATAGGAACCCTACAGGACTATGATAACGTAGTGACAAATTCTAGTAACATACTGACATTTAAAGCAATGATAAAGAACACAATTTTTTTAAAAAAAAATTAAGTTAGCACATGATACAAATTTTTTAAAAAGTGAGTTCAATAAATTACCTTGGGTCCTGGAGGTCCTGGAGGTCCAATCATTCCAGGTAGTCCTTTAACACCCTAAAAGTCATAATGAATGTTCTGGCTTATTATTATTACTAGAGGCCCGATGCATGAAATTTGTGCACTTGGGGGTGATCCCTCAGCCCGGCCTGTTCCCTCTCGCAGTCCGGGAGCCCTCAGGGGATGTCAAACTGATGGCTTAGGCCTGCTCCCAGGTCTAAGCCATCAGTTGGACATCCTTTGCGCTGCTATGGAGGTAGGAGAGGCTCCCACCACCACCACTGTACTCGCCAGCCATGAGCATAGCTTCTGGCTGAGCAGCACTCCCCCTGTGGGAGTGCAATGACCACCAGGGGGCAGCTCCTGCGTTGAGTGTCTGCCCCCTTGTGGTCAGTGCACATCATAGCGACTGGTCGTTCCTCCGTTCGGTCAATTTCATATTAGCCTTTTATTATATAGGATTATTATTTAACCCATTGAATTCCATCTCAGAAATTGCCTTTAAGCATCCATTGTATTAATTTTTAAAGTAAGAAATTACTCAACTGTCGCTAATTAGTAACTAAGGTCCAGGAGCACCTGTGAGCCTGACACTGTTTGGGCCAGTTCTGTGTGAGAGGTGTGACATCTGGGGCATAGGTGGAGAATGACCACGGAGCCACGGCAACAGATTCACACTGGGAATGCAGTCACTGAGAGGAATGTCTCATTTTGAGCCAATTAGTAAAATTTAATCCAGTAATTGAACACCATCAACAGAACCTGCATATGGCATCCATAACATCAGCACTGAAGGCTAACAGAGGAATTGATCTTCACCAAGAGTGTATTATGTGCCCAGTTCTATGCATCAGTTTCCTTTTCTATCATCAAAACATCAAGCCCAGATGTAACATCTAAAGACAACTGGACTTACAGTGTTTTTTTCAGTCCACATACCAAAGACAATATGAATGGGGCATATTTGATGAAGGACATGTCACAGTTGAGCAGCCCAAGCTAGGTCTGGGTAAACTTGAAAACACTGGTAATCTTTTCAAGCCTCATTTTCCAACTCTGTACATGGGGCTAATAATTGTACAAACCTGTTAAGGTGGGGTTGGGATTAATGCAGTGATGGGTGTAGGTGCTCAGGACTTGGCTGGCTCAGGTACGTGTTCAGGCAATGGTGGCTATTACCACTTTACCAAAGTAACATAGGGACTGGAAGTTACCTTTTCTCCTTTATAGAGACAAGAATCAGGTGGCTGTACCAGTCGGGTTGGTCCAGGAGAACCTTGCTGGCCAACCTCACCCTTGGAAAAAAAAAAGCAAGATAATAGGAATTTCATATGAACTTTATTTTAAATAAAATTTTGAACCAGGAAGACTTTCACCCATGGATTGTGATGTGATGCTTAAAATCCCGTGTGTCATGGATTTAAAACTAAAACCATGACATATAAATGATATAAGTTTAAATATTGATTGTTTTTCATAACTAATACACCCTTGTTAAAAATAAATTTAAAAAATAAAAGTGCCCCATAATCTTACCATCCTAGAGATAATCTCCATTAAAATAAGTGTATATTTTAGAGTCCTCTTGTTATTGTTGTAGTTTTTATAAAATTGAGCGTACACTTTTGTAACCTATACTTTCTGCTCAACATTATATCATAGGCGCCTTCCCACATCAGGGAGTGTTCCAATATATCTTTGGCAATGTGACATTTTGCTAAATGGCTGTACCACATGCACCCAACCAGACTGGGACTCCCTGAGAGAGAGGATCCCGTCTGTCCTGCTAAAGCCCCACACCCAGCACTGTGCTGGCCTGGCACAGAGCAGATGCCAGTTTCTGAACTATTTGCCCACAGTTGTTGAAACAGCCATTCCCCAACTGCTACACATTCAGGCTTCTGCCAGAGGAGCTGCCATTTTGAAACACGTTAGCTTGTCGTGCCAACATTCAAGTTTCAGTGGAAAGGGCTGTTGATGTGAGAGAAGGAGGCAGCAAGGATCGTGTATTGCTAAATGCTCTGGTTCTGGTTATTTATGTTTTTATTTATGTGTAAAACTTGGGATTTTGATAAAATTATAAAGTTAAGGCAAACAAATCAGTCATTAAACAAAATTGCTACTCTGAGTATAATATAGTATCAAAAATGTTCACTCTATTCCTGCTGGGGTGAATGGAGTTGAGTTTAGAGTTTAATTTTGTCAGAAATGTCATTTTATAGTCAAGGGTAATGGTACCATAATAATTCAGCAAAGAAAAGTTCACAGCTATTAAATTGGGCAGCGATGAGACAATGAACGCAGTTGCGTGATCATCAGAACAGCCTCCACAACCCGGGCAGCACATACATTTCAACATGTGCTCTCCAGGCAAAAGGGATTCTTACCGGGTCTCCCATCTGCCCCTTGACTCCCATGCCAGGATTGCCCTGAGAAAGAAAAAAACTAAATTAATTGAGTTGCTTTTGAATATTAAAGAAATAATTACAAGTAAGACTTCCGGTCAAGCAATTTTTTGAAGTTCACTTATTAAATACATTGGGAAGTCTAGTGAGAGGAAAGACATCATCCTGACAGACATCAGTGGTCGTTAGTCTCACTGTACCTGGGTCCTATTTGTATATTTTCCTCATGGCTGCCTACCTTCACACCCGGACTCCCAGGATGGCCCCGAGGACCCTAAATCAATGGCAAAAACACACAAATCACAGATCAGTTGCAGAAACCAGAATGTGTCTTTGTTGGTTGTCCCAGTTCCTCTCTAGGAAACCCTTAATTTAAAAACACCCATGGGCTTCCTATTACGGGGGGGGGGGCTGCTTGTTATACCCACCCCCCAGAGGGGCCCATGCTTCTCGATGGACTCACACAGGTAAGGAGTGGGCGTGTACTGATTCATCAGGTGATGTCCTCTCAAAGAGCCCACCTGTACCTGACCCAAGATGGGAATTGGCTTTTAGAGGGACACCATGAGCAGGGCTGTACTTACCGGTAACCCCGGCTCTCCTGGGGATCCCATTGGGCCTGCTGGTCCTCTAGCACCCCTTGATCCCTAAACATGAGAGAAATCAGTGCATTTTTTACCAAAATCAATAATCATCATTCACAGCAAGAGCTGCATGTAATCCCAGGTGGATATAAACTTCCAAAGGAGTCACAGTCCCAACACATCCACCTGCTGGAGCAGCTATCTTCCCAGCAGCTGTGCCTCAGATGTAGGGTACAGAGCTGCATGGGCCAATCGCTCCAGCAGGTGTGACAAATTCCTATGTTAGGTTCAAATTAAACACCAGAAACCAATCTACTTACTTACAGATAAATTTTGTAATAGCATAGGTAGAGAACAAAGAAACTTGTTATAGCTACTCCTAAATTCCATATATAACTTTGATACACAACAGGATGCTTTTTAGTCTTTAATATTAATTAGCATTAATATATGAAAATATGAATGTATTTATATTCCTTAATATATTTTTCAGCGTGCCCTTTCAGATCAATGTGAATAGAAATGCTGTCCCCAGTTTGAGGTCATGATGGTTAAGTCATAAGTCAACTTTCTGTAATCTGTAAGTTGTGGCATAATTACAGAGATTCACAAGGACAGCTGTGGAGAAAGGCTCTCTGCTCTCCCACTGACCCTGCCCAGGTCAGATGATTTTCAAGTGTGCAGTGAAATTGTTCTCTTCAGGAGGCTGAATTTGTTTTCATTTTAACAGCAACATCAAGGTATCTCATTAATGACGTAGAACCAAGCTTCAGAAGTAGGAAGGAAATCAACCTGGGTAAGTACTCCTGTCCACAGCCAGAAGTCACCAAGCAAAATTATAGGTTAACAACTGGAAGGTGGAAATTGATTTAAGTTGTAATCTTGTAAACATTGATAAATTGGAAAGACTAATATAATCATTGAATTTCAAATTTCAGGGAGATGAAAATGGTCCTACATTTTAAATATGATACACAATGACTGATTCAGCAGTCTTTCCACCTGACATATATTAGTGTCTGGGCAGACTTCTCTTCTAAATATCAATGACTGTATATGTATCAGCAATACCAAATGATTGTTGAAACATAGAAGAGGAAGGTAATTGGAAGCTTGCCAAGGTTCCAGGACGGCCTCAAGGTGTGTGACCTGTGCAGTCAGATGGGGTTTTGTGCTTGACTTCATGTTCTGCTCTCACCACCTCGAAATTATTCATACTTTTTGAACAAGGGGCCTACGTGTTCATTTTGCACTGGGGGGTCCGCACATTTTTCGGCTGGTCCTGCTGCGACACATACAAACTGTGGGGACAGGAGGCTCTTTGGGATCACACAAAAGCACATGCCTGCTCAGACTTACTGGTAAGCCGGGAGGTCCTGGGTTCCCTCTGTCACCCTGCAATAATGACACATTGCTTTAAAAGAGCAACACCATTTCCTAAAACACGTGATGTAAAAGTAGACGCACACACAGGAATCGTTTGACCTAACATGCAGTCTGTTCAATTTTTCCAGGTTGAGAAGATAACTGTGGAGGGCTCTGTGGAGATGATCATGGGCCTCTTCCTAGGCCCGAATCCTTCTACTCAGCTAAAACCAGAGGCAGGTGCTGGGGTCCTGAGCACGTGGAATCAAGATGAGGTTTCAACTTTCAATTTAAAATGTTCTAAACCAGTGGTTCTCAACCTTGGCTGCACATTAGAGTCACCTGGGAATCTTTTTAAAATCCTGATTTCTGCCCTAACCGGTTTGGCTCAGTGGATAGAGCGTCGGCCTGCAGACTGAGGGGTCCCAGGTTCGATTCCGGTCAAGGGCATGTACCTTGGTTTTGGGCACATCCCCAGTAGGAGGTGTGCAGGAGGCAGCTGATCTATGTTTCTCTCTCATCGATGTTTCTAACTCTCTATTCCTCTCTCTTCCTCTCTGTAAAAAATCAATAAAATATATTGAGAAAAAAAATACGTTTAAAAAAAAATCCTGATTTCTGGGCCTCATCCTCCAAAAATTCTGTTTCTTTGTTATGGGGTGGGGCCACAACATTAGTAACAAAGAAACAGAATTTCCGGAGGATGAGGCCCAGAAATCAGGATTTTAAAAAGATTCCCAGGTGATTCTAATGTGCAGCCAAGGTTGAGAACCACTGTTCTAAACCCAGTGGTCCCATTTCATCACAGTCTGTCTCTGGTCCACGTGCCAGACCCTGCCTCCCTTTATAGACACCCTGCTCCGTTGGTCATCCTAGAGTAAAGGTAAAGGGAATGACGTGGAAATTCTCTCCCCGCTGCCTCTGTGCGAATTCACCACCTTGTGACTCTGCCCTGAGACTCCACTTACTCTAAAGAATCAAAGGGACTGCAGGTTCTTTTTCAAATGTACAATATAACATACTGTAAAATATATGTTAGATAAAAGTTTACATTTTAACTATTTTTAAGTGGACAGTCCTGTGACGTTAAGTGCATTCACATTGTTGTGCAGCCATCACGACCATCCATCTCCAGAGCTTCTCCATCTTCCCAATGTAAACTGTTTCCAGTTTACAATAGATACTAACTCCCCATTCCCCTCCCCCGGCCTCTGGCAAAAACCTTTCTATGTCCTGTCTCTACGAATCTGAGTACTCTAGGAACCTCATATAAATGAAATCACACATTATTTGTCCTTCTGTGACCCGCTCATTTCACTCAGCATAATGACCTCAGGGTTCATCTATGTGGTAACATGAGTCAGGATACTCTTCTCTTTAAAGACTGAACAATATTCCATTGTATGTATATACCACTTTCTGTTTATCCATTCATTCCTCAGTGGACACTTGGGTTGCTTGCATCTTTTGCCTATTGTGAATAGTGCTGCTATGAAGTTGGGTATACAAATATCTGCTCTTTGAGTCCCTGCTTTCATTTCTTTTGGGTATAGTAGAATTGCTTAATTATAGGTTAATTAGGGTATTTAAGCCATAAACAGTATAGTTTTCATTGTCTAACAAGTATAAATAAGCATAGAGGCCGCACACAAATACTGTGAGCTCACTAAAGGGATCCCACTCAGGTGTGTCCACGCTGGTGGCATGGAACTCAGGGTTTAGTAGGAGCAACCTAGAGCTAGTCTTATCTAATTGTAGAATATTCTACCTTATGACAAATGATCGTGTCATGAAAATGTACGATATCTCTCCTCCTGATTTTTTCTATCTAGTGATCTCCTTCTTCTTATCTATGGCTACTTGTTTTAGAGTGATGAAGTGGTCATTCAAGAGTTTATTTCTGAATATTTGTATACCATTCTCTGCTAGAAACACAAAAGCATTTAATTTACCAAGGAGAGTACTATAAGGTTTCCATAATTTTCCAGTTCAATAGTGTTGACTCCTAGTATGCCGGGGTGCAAGTATTCATATCACATTTTAACTACAAATAAAACAGTGCTTCCCAACCGGGAGTAATTTTTCTTCCCAAGGGGACACTTGGTAATGTCTGGAGATATTGTGTGGGTGGAGGTTGCTACTGGCATCTAACAGGTAGAGGCCAGAGATACTGTTTCACATTCTACAATCCATAGGCCAGCCCTCATGCAAGTGATTATCTGGCCCCAAATGTCAATAGTGCCAAGGGTGAGAAACCCTGAAATGGGGTATCCGTTGCCACTCTGCAAAAAATAGTGGAGAGGTATGTGTTGGAATGTTACAGCCAGAGCAGCTAATGCCAAGTGCTTCACACAAGAAGAATGGTGCCACCCCAGAGGGCCAGGGGGAGGATAAAAACCAGGTGCCACTTGGCTGGTATGGCTCAGTTGTTGAGCATGAACCAAGAGGTCACTGGTTTGATTCCTGGTCAGGGCACATGCTCAGGTTGTGGGCTCGATCCCCAGTAGGGGGCGTGCAGGAGGCAGCTGATAGATGACATTTCTCTCTGATCAATATTTCTATCTCTCTATCTCTTTCCCTTCCTCTCTCTCTAAAAATCAATAAACATATATATTTTTTTAAAAAAAAACAGCATGCTCAGGGACATTTCAAAGGGAATTTCAGTTCATGTATGGGTTTACCTATGGTGGGGAAAAATTATTTTAAATCCACCATGATCAGAATGCTTACCTGACTACCTTTAATGCCACCTAAAATGAACACTGAATTTCCTTTTTCTCCTTGTTCCCCGGGAAGGCCCTGAAAATAAAACATTCACTTAAGAGAGGAGAAAAGCACATTACTATTTTAGCATTTTATTTTCTATGTGAAATATCACTCACCAATAAAATTACCATTATAGTCATATTTCACTAGTGAAGATTTCTTTATTCTCTTTATTGTCATTATCACCTTAAGGTTCTCATATATAGTCATTCAGTATTCAGTTAAAATCTATTAAGAAATCTCCAAAGATAGAGTATCTACTAATTTATTTATATTATAAATATATGGTATATATGTATAGTTTATATATAGTATATACTGATGTATTAATAGATATTTATTAATTATATAGCAGGGAAATTGCGCAACATAATGCACATGTATTATTCTTATAAGTAAACATTGCAGTTGTCAATAATATGCCATAGAAACAGTTGTTTAAAAATTTAGTTTATTTATTTTACTGTTTTTATTTAAAATAGAGCCTATGTACCCTTTATAAGATTTTAAAAATCAGCATGTTCCTTTTGTAAGTTTTTTTGTATGTAGCTGCACGTTTATTTACGGTATTTTAAAAAAGTGAATGAAATACCTGAGTGTATTCTTTTTTCCCCCAAAAGTTTCCACACTTGATATCTCAATATCCCATATATTAATATACCTCAACTGGGTTACCACATAAAAATTTTAACCATTTTCATATATCAAGCTCTTACAAAAGACATGCAGATGTCAAAGTTAACCCCTCTCGGAAGAGTGCCTGGCTTTGCTTCCGATGGGAGAGACTCCTGGTTTCATGGTAAGCTCCTCACCAGGTCCCTTGAGCAATCAGATTGCAGTCCTTTTTCCCCATGGTTCCAACAGGCATGGATTTCAGTCCCACGTTTGAGTAAAACAGCACCAGTCCTCAACTAAATGGTTCGAAATTCAGTTACCACTGCATTAACTAAGTAACTGCATGGAGCACAAACTTCACTGCTAGCTCGTGGGTCCACAGATCACCCCTAAGTGACATGGAATCATGATCACTGACTGATCACATCACTCCATTCAAAGCCTGTTGTGACGGTTCCTGCACATCTGCTAGTTCACACACACAGGTTGGCAGTGAACCCTGAATGATAAACAACATAAGCTTTGGTCCTATGACAGCAGCTGGGAGCATCTCAATGGCACATCCATCAAGTCATATCTCTTCCTCCCTTAGAACTACCCAAAACATTCTTATGGCATGAAAAGAAAACCCAGCCTCCTGCCACAGTCTACAAGACCCCAGGTGTCCTAGGTCCTGCCCACCTCTGTCCTCATCCTCCAGCCACCCCACTTGTTCACCATGCTCCCCCACACTTGTATTAACTCTGTTTCTTGAGCACACCAAGCCTGTTCCCACTGTTGGGCCTTTCACTTAAGATTCCCGTTAGGATGAGCTGTGGGTGTCTTACTGGGGGGCCTTCTGGGCCAGGAGCTCCTCTTTCTCCTGGAAACCCTGGATCGCCTCTTGAGCCATTGCAGCCATTCATGCCAGGTTTGCCTCTGAATCCCGGAGGCCCTGGGTGCCCCTACAGGAAACAAAATGTTAAGTGAAGCATTGTTTTGCAAGAATACTAGAAGACAAAGATTATGCAATATGGGTACCCAAATTATGGCAATGATGACTCACATACCACTTAATTTTGTGAGACTTCCTTCCCCATCCACAGTGCTATGTAGCATAGTAAAAATCCATAAGTAAATTTTAATATGCCCCCAATTTAAATTCATTCAGTTTGGAGTATTCTGGGAGATTTGGGGGGAAACCTTCCTTAAAATCCTTAGAAAGACTCTAATGAATAGTAAAGCTCCCCAAAATACCTCTTCCTTCTTTCATGTGGTTTTCATATTAGAAATGAGAGTCTTAAACCCACTTCCAAAAGTTAGGACTCGTCAGCAAGTAAAAACTGTCATTATGAGTAGGCATTCATTTCCAGAAGTATCTCTAGCTCCTGTTTTACAATGTTGTTCTCTAACCTATTTGAAAACCTTGCTATTCAGTAAAGTGTTTCGGTATTGGAGTTATTCCACAAAATTGAAATGCAGCAAACATCCTTTCATTCACTTAGATGAGAAAATAAAGAAGAGTTTGCCACGTGCATATCTATTTTTTGAACATGTGATTTTAAGGGTTTTGAGGAGTGTTTCTCCCTTCTTTGTGAGAAAATGTAGGGATACTTACAGGTATACCATCCAAACCTGGAAATCCAGGAACACCAGTGGGACCCTAAAATTCCAGGTGATAAAACAAAGTTATAAAAGTCACTAAGTTATTAGACTAACAAGTTAATTTCCTCAAAAACATAAATAATTAATGCTCATTATTTTTAACCCTTAGCAGTCATGGTTACCTATTTTCACACATGCTTAAACGCCAACATTTAAGAATGAACCTTTCATACTTTTTGTCCTAAGGAAGCCAAGTTGGCAGCATCAATTGAAAGAAAACATCCAGCACCCTGTAAGCTGGGAATTCAACGTCTCAGAATCCTTCAATCCTGGAGAAGCAAACTCGTAAACGTGAGCGCAGGTAATTCACAGGATTGCTTTCTCACACATGCTCTACACAAATTAGGACACGATCTCAAATTCTCAACAAGGAAGAAACTATTGTTTCCTTTATCCATTCTATAGCATATTAAACGGTGTTTTTAAAGGAATAAGTTGAATCGACATAAATTGATTGATCTTAAGCCACATGGTTGAGTAAAAAAAAAAAATGCCCAGCATGGTGCACATAATATCACTTAGGTGTTTTTTTAAAGCCATGAACCGGTACAACTCCCTGCTGGGTGCAGTCATGCATTTAAGTGCAGAGAAAAGATCTAGATAAACAAGCTCCTCTGGAGGGGTTGGGGAAGGAGGGCTGCTATGGAAGAGCAGTCTAGACTTAATTTATTATAAGGCGCAAGCAGGTCCTACTTGTTTATAACAAGTCTGGCATAGCAGTGCTGGTGGGTGGCTAAGAAGCTTTCCCTTAGGAAGGGGTTTACCTTATCTCCTTTATCCCCTGCTGCTCCGGAAGGGCCGCTGTCCCCTCTCATCCCTTTCTCTCCTGGAATCCCAATGGGTCCTGGAGGTCCCAGCGGTCCAATAGGACCCTGTGGCCCTGGTGGTCCCGGGTGACCCTAAGAAGGAAGATTAAAAAGGGAGGTGGGCTGATTCTTAAGTAGCGTCTTCTAATGCAAGTATATGACCACTGAGGCTTACAGACAACTGAAGAATTAGAGGTTGAGCAAACTCTGATATAGAAACACAAATGATTAATTAATTCATCGCAAAAATAAGAAACAGTAACACTGCCTTTTTCAATCTGGATTTAAGCAGTACAATAAATCAGAATTACCATAGGTACACACACTTATCTGTAAATTGATAATAGTTCTCTTATTACTTTCATTCTGTCTATGACATTTATAAGTCTTGAGCTGTTTGGTGAAGCCAGGAACTTAAAAATAATAAAAGTCTTATTACCATTGTGTTAGTGATAAAAGTTAGGAGCAGGGAGAAAACTGCCAGATCTTTTATTTACTTCAAATGGCTAATGATGCATCTGCCCTTTTAGGGGGAAACATTTATTTTTAGCTGCTTTTACTTAATTTCTTGTAAGTGTGAAGTAGGCTCTCCATGTGAGGTTATAGTTCCCCAATCTGACTTTTCATGAACCAAGAGGTCACCTCTTGGTTCAGATGAAGAAGTTTCCTGAGCTCAGTTCTACCCACAACCCACAGTGGGAACATTGCTGGCACAGCGGTGAGCAGCTCCGGCTCCCTGCTGCCCTTGCACTGTGTGAGGGGGACTGATCCACCGAATGAAGCTCAATCACTGCCCATTACAGATGCTGCACGCCTCACAGCTCTCTGTCCTGGAGGAAGCAAGCCTGCCTCTCAGGAGCACCCTCCCCTGCCCTGGGGACCTGCTCCCTGCCCTGTCCCGGGCTCCCTTCATCATTATATAATTGCTGCTATTTATTGAGTTATCCATAAAACTACTAAAAGCCTAGAATTCTCTAGGAAGTTTAAATGTTTGAATATGTGCTAAAAAAATAACAATAAAGTATAAAATATAATTACATGGGCACAAACCATTCAGGGGCATTTTGAAGGCAAATCAATTTACTCTAGATAGTGCAAAAATTCTAAGCTACAGCCTGAAAGTAAGAATAAATAATGACTTCAGCTGACCTTATCCTACGGGTGTTCATTAATCTTACTTGGTTACTTAATTAACATAAGTTAAAAGTTCCCATTTTTCCTAAATGTAAGGCTCAGGAAATAACTGCTTTAATAAGTTTATCTTTTTGTCTTACATGTAATTTATACAAAAACTCCTACATTATCTTTTGTGAGTGCTGTATTATTTAGGAACAACAAAATGCACGTTTGAACAGTCAAGGGTAACTGAGAAAGAGACAGCCAATTAATTGACTATAAATCTCTCCAGTGTGTTTCATTTTAGACCCGAAAGGCCAAATCCAGTGAGCTACCGGAACTTCGGAGGGGAAAGAAAAAAAAGGAGAGGAATGTTTAACGCAGTGTAAGAATAATGGACCTCTATTAAGTACAGCACTGTTTCCTGACCCGAGAAAGAGCCGTCTAAAACACTTCCATAGAGAAATAAATCAGGAATGGCTGTCTGCATTAAGTTCTTCCTCCCACCTCCTCCTCCTCCCCACCCTTCCTCTGCTACACTGACTTCCTTGCATTTCTGAACAAGCTCTGTTCCTTCACAGACTGTGGTGTTCTGTCCAGAAGTGTCCCTTCTCACCTCCCTCCCCAAGTCATCTCTCAATGCCCCAGGGAAAAACTCCCCATCTCCTGCCCTCGCCCCCACACCCTTCAGAATCCCTTCAGAATCGGATGCCTGTCCAAGACGCCTCTCTAATAACACTTCTCACCTGTTCCTGTGATCATCTCTTTATCCTCATGGTGGGAAGAAAGGTAGAGGGCAATACATGCTTAATAAAATAACACAGACACAGACAATAGTGTGGTGAAGGCCTGGGAGGAGTGGGTGCGGGGTGGAGGGTGTCAATGGGAAAAAAAACAATGGAGACATCTGTAATACTTCCAACAATGAAAATAAATTTAAAAAATAAAATA